AGCTTAATTGCTTTTGTTAGAAATGATTGGCTTTCGTTCGGCTAAAGTTCATATAAGGCCATTACGTATTCTCCAACCTCTCCCTAGCACAGCTGCGGTAATTGAATTTAATGTAGCAAATATAAACAATTATTGTGTAGCCTTGCAGATTTTGCCCCGACTGCGCTGCAATTAGTAATTCCGCCGCCGCCGTTTATCGATCGATCGAAGTCGTATCGCAGTGCCGAGTGCGTGATTTTTTTTTGGGACGAGCTCGAGTCTCGTTCGAGAGTGAAAAGTGAAGTGTAATAAGATACGGTGCGGTAGAAGATCGTGGCGCGATGGTGGCATTATTTCGTTTTCTTCCCAGGGATATATACCCTCTGTTAATCGATTAATGGTTTTCCGCTCTTTCTTCTTTCCTCCTCCATTGGATTCTCTCTCTCTTTCTCTCTTTCGCCGAGGCTCGAGTGAGATACGATACAGGACGAGGCGCGCGCAAACGGTAACTCTAATAATTGGTCCGCTTACCCCTCGAGATAGTGACTTGTTTTTTTTCTCTGTCTCTCTCCCTTTCGCAGTATTACTACAAAAAAACACTACTTATTTTGTACCCGAGTGAGAAGGAGCTCTCACCCTTTTGATTCATAGCTTCATTCGATATGGTTATTAAATCTCCAAGTTCATTGATCTTCCCAAGCAGACCCTCGATGTCTATATAACTACTAATAAAATACGAGAGGGTCCGAATTTTTTTTTCTTATCACGACATTATTTCCACGTTCTCGAGCTAACGATGTCTCACGAATAAAGCAAAAGAAAACGTCGTCGTCGACGTAAATGAAGCGAAATCCCTGCCAAGTGTATACCCTTGTATACTGCATACGTAACACAAGACGATAAACAAGGAATAGGCCAACAAATAGAGAGAGAGAGAGAGAGTCTGGCGTACATCTGGGCGTGTGTAAGGAGAGAAGGGGTGAGAAGGGGGTGTTGTGCAGCTGCTGCTACACCTGTAACTGACGGCTTCTGTCTCGTTTATTATGCGAATTACGGCCTACGTGGGGGAGGCGAGAGGAGGAGGCGAGGGGGGAAGTACAGAGATTAGCAAGGCCGCGGATTACTGCAGCTGCTGCTGTTGCAGGTTATATCGGGCAGCGGCAGTTTCCTCCGAGTAGGATTAGGAGACTCCGAGCTAAGGCTTGGAATTTACAGCTGGGCGAGGAATGTTGTTGGCTGCAGTTGCCGCGCTGAGCCTCGCTGTATACGCCAACATTTACGTCCATGTGTGCGTGTGTACTCGCTATATTATCAGACTGCAGGTGATGCCGAGTAATTCCCCACCCCGAAAAGGGATAGAGATCGATGAAGATTTCATAAACGACATTTCAATGATATCGGCGCGCGAGTGCTCCAGCTCGTACACAAAAGAGAGAGAGAGAGAGAGCTAGCTAGATTTCTCCTGTACCTCGGCCAATGCCATTACAGCCTTGTATACTGGTACTTGGCCCTCCCTCTCCTCCTATATTCTTAGCTATCGCAAGGCATTATCCTGGCGAACGCTGCGTATATATACAGCGGAGGGGTTTTTGGATCGAGCTTGAAGCCCGGCGGAGAAGCCATCTTTTACGTGCGTAGAATACAAATGACACAGCAGCAGCAGCAGCAGCAGCAGCAGCGCCGCGGGATAAAAGTGTATATGTCGCTGCTTCGCGAAAGATATCCCATCTCGGCTGCACAGACACACACACCCTTTGCCCGAGAAGACGTATTTTTTCGCGATACAGTACTTGCGCGCTGGGGAGCTAGCTGAATTATATGCGCCTACACTGCACAGTGGAGAGAAAGCCTCTAAGATCGATTCCGTCGCTGCGTGCGCGAGATCAATTATTTTCAACTTTATCGGATTTCGCGCGAGATTCACTTTGCCGCCTGTCCCCCGAGTCGTGTGTGCGTCGTTTACATTCCCTAGGCTTAATCGACACATTTTATAAACGACTCGTCTTTTTTCTCCTTATCTCTCGGCTACTTTCTTGGAATTTTTTTCCTTGTGCAATATTCCCGCTATAACGTGTTGGCTGCTGCTTGTGTTGCCGCGTTCTGATTTCCCGATATAATACGGAACACATAGCGCGCTCGCGCGGAGATGTATATGTATACATAGCGAGAAGGTGGAGGAGAAAAAACACACAGTGGAATTGGATCCGGGTAGCTGAATTTCGATTTTATTGCGAGAGTAAGGTGCAGCGCGGAACGCATAACACGCCCGCCGCAACTCTCTCTCTCTCTCTCTCTCTCTCTGCTTATATAGCTAACCCACACACATATAGCTAGGCAAAATTTGTACCAGAGCTTGGCACACACACACACACACGGACGCGGCAAGCGCGAGGCTACTGCTGCTGCAGTCCCGACTATAAAACCTACGTAAACTCTCGGCTGGATTGGATTTATCTTGTATTTTTTCTACCACCGAAGGGGGTTTTTCTTTTTTCATATTTCTCTCTCTGTGGCGCGGTGCTGCTCTCCGCACAGAGCTCCGTATACGTATATATATTATATATACGCTTTTTTCTCGGGCTATTCCCTGCTGGTCATTGATCTACTCTCCGCTGCCGCTGCTGCTGCTGCTGTTGGTGTAGCCGCTGTAGCTGGAGGAGGATCAATTTTTCAGATTCGATATCGTCATTTTTCCGGAACACATGGTGCCCCCCCCCTGCCGCAGCTACACATGGCTTCGCGCAATTCGATGCTTATTTTTGTTATATAGCCGCTGCGCGCCGCCCTTGCGTAGCCCAGATTTTTTTTCTGATCCCCACCTTGCCACAAAAATTTTCACTCTTCGGTAAGTCATCAATTTTCATCATACGTTTCAATCGAAAAATGGTGTATATATACGGGTATAGTACGGCGTCGGCCGAGGCAATAATTCTTGCATATATGACACGCGTAAAAAGCCAGCAGCAGCTCGCAAGCTCGCAAGCTCGACTTCGATTTTTTTCTCCGAAGTTTACTTTCTCCCAAGATAAGCCATGTTTTCGTAACTTTCTCTCTCTCGCTTACTCTTTTTCTTTCTGGCCGCGTGCACGCGTGTGCGCGCGCGAACACATGATGAATTATAGAGTAAAGAATGAAAAAACGAGAAACTTGCTTGTACACCGCACTAGTGCTGCTGCTGTAGCTGCTGCGAAGGGTGTATCATCAAAAGTTGAAAACTTATTGCTTTTACGTACATGTATACGCGCGGGAGGGAAGAAATGTCGAGCTCGTGCACTCTCCCTCGCCTCGTTGGAAATACGCACGCGGCGTAAGAGTTTCTCCGGCTCTCTGGGAGTGGAAAGCGAGAAAAAGAAATGTTCTACAAGACCTCGCGCGGATCAGGTACGGCAACTCCACGAGTCGCTGAAAATTCTTTTCTCGTACATAAATTACCACACGACCATTGGAAGGGCAACAATCCTCGATCGCTGAGCCAAACGCTCACGCGTGTGTGCTGCAGCAGTGGAAGGTGTATATTGAGCGATGCACGCTACAATGTGCGTCAGAGAGGATTTCCGGCATCGGCTTTGTTGCGCGGCGTGCATCCTCTCTCTCTCCTTCGAGATTAATCACGAACATTACGCCGAGCTCGGACGATCAAAGCTGCTGCCGCTGCTGCTCTTTGTGCTCGATGCTACTTGAGCAATGCCGTTTGCGATTGAGAAACCCTTTGGCACACATACGCAGCCCGGGATATAATCGCATACGTGTACGCACGATTGCAATTGCGCAGCTCCATCGATACTACATGTGTAGCCGCGATGAATCTTCACAATTCGATTCACCCCCCTTGAATACTATTACTATTAGGCGGTTAAGGTTGGGACTGTTGCGTGAAAGTAGCGTCTTGCCGAGAGTCCGCAGCTCGTCAAAACAATGCACGAACGGAGAGACGAGAGGACGATTACGAAGAGCTTGCGGACTTTCGGCGTATATACGACAACGATAAATTGCTATACTACTCGAGACTTGTACCACTGCTCGGAGAGCAGTCCGGCAAACTTGTGTTTTGTGTTCCTCGCCGCAGCAGCAGCAGCAGCAGCGGCAGCGGCACACTGTCAATGCCTACATAGAACAGTAGAGACAGACAAACTGCATAGACGTCGACGGCGAAGACCATGCCAAACGATGTATATATTGACAATGGTCATCGCAGACTGTGCGCTGCGCGGTCAAAATGTGGACAGGAGACCGGCAGCTAGCCCCTATACGGCAGGACGACGAGCTTTTGCTTTTGATGAAATTTATCGGAGAATTCGGAGAAGGAAGGAAGAATGCCAGAGAGAGGGACAGATCGGTGTACTTGATGGCCGGGGCTGCTACGCGCTCGTACGTATATAAACTCGAGACTAGATTTCCCCGTGGACTCTAATCACGCACATCGACATTAGCTCGTCGTATATACCACTATTACTGCTGCTGCAGGACTCGCCTGTCCCTCCTCTGTGCGGACCCGCGGGATGTGCGATCCTCTCTCTCTCTCTCTCTAATGCGTCGGACACGGAAATGTTGCTGCGATACACGAGTCTGCGCGACCGAGGCAGCACTTCATATCTGCAGATATGCCCACTCGGTCGTGTAATGTCGAACGCGCGTCCGGAGACGCTCGCTGGGCTGCGATGCTGATTTATTGCCTCCAATTTAGGGTGGGTAATTCACAAAAATGAGGAAGGGGTATGGATAAGGTACGAAGCCTAGAGCACGAAAGATACTGACATGATTATTCTGCAGAAGCAAAAAGTTCAAAACAATCACTTGATAATTCGTATGGTATGGAATTCGTATAGAAATTATACACAATATATGCTGTAGCTTTTTCGACAAAAAATTTATTGATTTTTTTTCAAACTTGAAACGTTCTTCGATAACGTGGAAGTTATCATAATCAATGAACATTGTTATACTAGTCATTTGAACAAATATAGTATCGATTTTACATAAGGGTTTCTTACGCAGTTGAATATGAATTTTATAAATTTATTATTAGTTCGTAATGCGGGAGGGATGCGCCACATCCATGTGGGCTATGAGATTTTTGTTTCGCCCAAAAGTTTTTCCGCATAAATCACAACCACGGGTGATACCATTGTGCGTCGATCTCAGATGCTTATTGAGAGCAGATCGATGTTTATATTTTTTATCGCAGAAACCACATGCGTGATGGATACCGTTATGCGTTGAATTGATGTGATCATTGAGGTAACGCTTAGTTGAGAACTTCTTTCCGCAAATATCACATCTATGTTTAATACCTCTGTGCACATCATCGATGTGGCTTTTGAGATTGCTTTTATTTGCAAATGATTTTCCGCATGTATCGCACTTTGGTTTAATACCATTATGCATCACATGCATGTGGATTTTGAGATAATTCTTTCGTGAAAATGTATTGGGGCATTCATCACATGCATATGTGACACCGTTGTGCACTGAATCGATGTGGCGTTTGAGATGATGCTTTCGTGAAAATGTATCGTGGCATACATCACATGCATATGTGACACCGTTGTGCACTGAATTGATGTGGATTCTTAGAGTACCTTTGAATGTGAAAGTTTTTGGGCATATATCGCATGTATATTTGATACCATTGTGTACAGAGTCAATGTGACATGTAAGATTACCTTTATTTGCGTATTTCTTTCCGCATATTTTACATGGATGGGTTTTATCATTGCGCACCTCACCGGTGTGGCTCATGAATCTATCGATAACGTTCAACTTTTTTCTATCTCTTCTCTTTTTATTTTTCTCGCCGGGTTCACAATCGAGATTTGGATTCATTTCTTTTTTCACGCTGTCCTCAGTTTCTGATTTAATTATGGTTTGAGTTTCATAATCGTCAATTTTCTTTACTTCAAACAAATTCATACTAGGCTTCATTTCTTTACACTCAAGTTCAATGTGCATTTCGTCGAGTTCATTTTCATGATTTTCGTTACATCCTTGAAGCGTCTGTAAGAATAAACATGTTTATAAAAGTTTTCTGTAAAAATGTTTAATATGTATAAATTGCACATGACTGCCAATTCTTACCGAATATTCTCTGAAGACTCGCAAATTTTTAACATCAGGCTTCTCATCGATCGCGTCGCAATCACTGTCGATAAAAGCTGCATCACAAGGTTCTTCTTTGACTCTAAAATAAAATTCAATGATTTTTATTAAAATGTTAAAATATTTTTATAATTAATTTAAATTTTAAAAAACTTACTTGACAGTACAATCGTATAGACCAGTCGGATCCATCTTTCTCAACTAAAAGTCCATTGACCATTGACGTTTCTGTACAACATTTCAAAGCAATTAATTCGTATGAAATTTAATAATATTTACCAATCGCGATATCAATTCTAGAGCGAACTAATGTAAACAGAACAACACTATTAATCTTCTGAATGAGGAATAATTATTTTTCTACAAATAATATTTCATTCAACATGATATAAAACTTAAAAATTATTCTACCGTCAGTTTTTACCCGCGGATTCGATGGCAGCGGTACTGCATTTTCCGGCTGCAACATTCGTGCATAATTTGGCTTTCGCGATACATAGAGCTACTGCTACTGCTCGTCGTACTAATTCGCGCTCACTGTAACGCGAGAAAGAGAGAGAAAGAGAGAGAGAGAGATAGGCCCCTGCAATTAGCCTGCATGTGATCACGCCGCGCACACGCGCGAATTGGGAATTCGCTCGGAGGCCCGCTGTGTGGCCTGTGCGCAGTCGATTTTTCCAGACTATATATACAGCATATCGCAATTTGTAACTCGTTTTGTAATTGAATTAATGTTCGTTTATTCGGGTAATTGGTTAGCTGGGCAGCGTCACCGCGACTAATACCGACCGATACACGGCGCATAATTTTAGCCGCCCACCCCCACCTATTCTTTGCCTCGTTTTCATGCCGAATGTATATAATTCGTACATATTTATGACCTACGTCCGCAGGAAAAAATAAAATTCACGAAAAGTCGAAATATCGTTTCAGAAATATTACAAGCCTCTCTCGGCTGTATTGTCTGCGGCCAGTCGCGCATCCTCCTCGCTGATCTAATCGTGAAACTGCTATCTATATCTGCCTGTCGATTCCTGCGTATAAACACGCCATATCCGTCGTACTTTAGCCTCTCTGTCTATGTCTCTCTCTCTGTCCGATGGCGGATAGGATCGTCGCAGCGCCGATCTGTCAATGACTTTGTTTGCGACGCGGACTCGCGTCCATTCGTCAATTTGATAGACGCGCGAGCTGGTCGATAAGCAGAGAGGACGTCGATCCTGTGAGGGGTCGGCTGGTCACTTTGAAACTCCGACTGACAAGAAAATTATTCGTACATATAATTCTCTCTCTCTCTCTCTCGTCGAGAGTACATATAAATGCCCTACCTTTTTTTCTCCTCTCCTATACCCATACTACATAAGCGCGGGGGGCATCATGCATGCACAAATTCTCTCTCGTTTGCGCTCGGAGCCCTTAGCGCGCATTTGTCTTGCCGCGCGCGGGAGGGTCAATTCGTTGAAAAATAGCAGCCCCGCTGCCGAGTGGAGTAGAGCTCTGGAGCCGCCGCCGCCTCTGAACCAGGGCGTTGGCAGCAGCACCGCCGCCGTCGCGTTATAACGAATGGCGGGCCATTTGTTGGGACACGAGGCATTACACGGCTGCCGTCGCGAGCGCTACATATATTATATCTCTGACTCTCTCTCTCTCTCTCTATGCTCACCTACATACCTATATAGTTAACGTATGAATCGGCCACGGCTAGCTAATGCCCTCGTTGCAGCAGCAGAGAAGGGTATAATTTAAAGCCATTGACGCTAGATATCTCTCAAGGCAGAGCCACATTACACACACGTATATAGTAGCACAGCTCATAATTTGTCCTTTCGATCATCGCACAGCTGGCCGCACCTATATATACAATTTACCTCCTATACAAGTGTGTATGGATATATAATGCCAAATAGAGGCCTTACACCGCTGATCTATTTAGCCGTGAAGCCTCCAAGGCGCATTGCCAGGAAATTTAGCGAACAATTACGTATACAGCTTATGTGCTACGAGTGATGGCCGGCCGTAAGTATATAATATAACAGCGATCATTGAAAGTTCCCCGAGATCGAAAATCGATCGACTTTTTTTCCGCTGCTTACATACACTCGCGAGTAATCGGAGTACATTCACGCTCTCGTTTAACGCGAGTAAAACAAGAGCCGCGCTAATTCTTATTGAGATGTTGATGATCCAACTTTACGGGCGCGTATCTGATTTAGGCTTTTGCGATTGGAGTTTATTCCGCGCGAGCTTTTCCCTGGTTTCCTTGCATCCCTCCCAAGTTCTCTTCGAGCTTTAGCTATACAGCCGAAGCCGAAAAGTTCATAGACGCGTAGACAGCTATATAGTATATATATTATGTAGCGAAGCCCACCCCTGCGTGGCCGTTTCGTTCCTTGAATTCTGCAACTATCTGCTATACATGCATAAAGTCGCGATGTATGTATCGAACTTACAAACATTATATACTACTACTACTACTACTATGTGAGCATCGACGAGACGCGTCGACTTTTCGCATAGGCAAATAAATGCAATTGCTGATGGCTCTGGCTGCCACCGCCGCTTCTTACTTTTTTTCCGCGCGACGCGGCAACGAGCGAGCAATATTGGTCGCGCTCGGAAAAACTCCCGAGGCGCCCTGGCCGCGGCAAGAAAACTTTTATCAACTCGTCCATTACTATTGGCAGCGCGTTGACTTTTACAATTTTTATATGCATACGTACATGTGTTTCCCCCTCGTTCGATCTCCGTCGCAGCAGTAGCGTCCAAACTCAAAAAAATATATATCACATGTTTCGCAAGCGCAGTATACTGACGAAAGCTCGTGTTTTGCAGGTTGCTGCTTCGTTACGTTCTACACGAGGCAGGCCGCCCTGGCTGCCCAGAATGCTCTGCATAACATCAAGACCTTCCACGGGGTAAGTTTTTCTTCTTTCTTTCTATTTTTTTTTCTTTTTTTTTTGCCCTTCCTCGTTACACACAAAGGATAATGAGCAATAAAAATTTACGATATTTCCTTCTTTCCTCGCATAGCGCGAGAGCTCCGTCGAGTCGCGCGCAAGCTCGATATTTTTCTGGCTTACCGTTATATACCTTGATGGCGCACGCCCCGAGGCCGTTACGGACACTCTCGCGCTATGCGAGCGAGCGAACGAGTAATTTTAATGCGATTTGATTTATTAATATTAAAATTAATTAAGGGCCGAGCGATGAATTATATCGAGCGGTAGATTTAACAAAGGGCACTTAATGGAGAGAAAAAATTTGATATAGAAACTTCGACGAAAACAAAAGTACTTTGAAATATTTTTATCATCGAGATTTGATCAAAAAAATGTTGGTAGCCTATTAAATTGTACATTAAAAATTACGTTGATTTCTTCATGAGCCGCGTCGATGTAGATTTTTAGATAAATGACCTTCCGAATTTATCACGTGCATATTTGATGAACGAATGTTTGGTTATGTATACGAACTGCATCAATATGCTTACGGGAATTATTCTTATTCGATAATTTCTTTCCGCATATTTCACATGCGTAACGCACACCGTTATACGCCACTTTGAGTCTACGTTCGTTGTTTAACTTTTTTTATTTTATTTGCTCGAAATTCAAGTTTATTTATTTTTCGAATTTGTAAATCGAGGAGCACGCGCTCGCGCACACAGTTTGTCTCCGCCCATTATACCCATACACGAGGAAAATAAAACCCCTTGGATCGCCTCGTGTTCATTGACTTCACACGTGTACGAGCGTGTGTACATGTTCATTTATAGACTCGATACATATCGTAGCGCAGCGGGAAGAGAAATAAAAGTGTGCATCAACGGCGTCGAGTAATTTTAGTTAAAAAATATTTGAAATTATAAGTGGCTGCGAGTTGTGTGCGTGAGCGAGTGAAACAATGCGCAAGTTCGAAGGAGAGGATTCCGAGGACGAGTATCCTTATGATAACGAAAAATTGGACAAATTGAAGGTCTTATTGTTACGAGAAAATGTCAATTGGGAGATGGCAGAGGAGCGGCATCGACTTCTCGAACGACTCAGTCCGTTGATCGAGCGTTGGCGCTTCGACCTTCCGGATCTCCGGGACATTTTTCGAGAAGAGCAGATAGAGCGTCTTCTCTTGGATTCTGTAAGTTTCTTGGACGCAGTTGGCCGCGGTGACGATCAAGGAACGCGATTCATCGAGTTCGTGGCTCGCACCGGCTACAGACATCGGCCCCGACTCGACGAGCACGGAAAACCCGTTCAGCCGCGTCGCACTACCGCGCTACACCGTTGTCCGATAACCCGAGTACCGTACGAGCCACACCCCGTCCAGGTTCTCTTTCGAATTTACGACGACTTCCGGGCGAACTACGTCGACGAGGAGTCCGGCCTCAGCCACCTGCACGTGGCCTGCAAGTACGGCCTCGTGGAGGTCGCGCGGAAATTCCTCGAGCTCGGGCACGACGTCGATTTCGTCGCGAACGAGAACGGCGGCGACTCGCCGCTGCGCGTGGCGCTGCTCAACCAGAGAACGGAGATAGTCGAGATGCTGCTGAGCAGAGGCGCCGATCCTTATCTGGCCAACCAGCTGGACGGATCGACGCCTCTGCACGTCGTCTCTGGGATCCAATCTTTCTCTTACGGCGCGGTGGAGACATTTGTCGCGAGCATCGAGAAAAAACTGGAGGAGATCGAGGATGCCCGGAACGAGGAAGGAAGTACACCGCTGGACTTGGCACTGAGGCGAGAGCTGCGAACGATGAGCGGCAGCATCGTCGATCGCGACGGAACGACACCTCCGTACATAATAAACGAGAGATTCCGCGACAACGGCCTGCTGAGGACGATTTTCGAGTTCAGCGTCGACAAAAGTCAGCTTGTCAACGTCAACGTCAGAGACAAGGATGGCAACACGCCGTTGCACTTGGCGCTGCGCAACCGCCACGAGAAGATGGTCGAGTGGCTACTGAGACGAGGCGCCTCGCCCAACGCGGCCAACGACGCGGGAGAGACTCCGCTGCACGTCGTTTGCCGGAGAGTCATTGTTCGCGGCTACGACGACTACGAGGCCAGTTATCGTCCGAAGCCGTTGACGACGAACGATTCGCCGCGGTGCGTCCCGGATGCCGATGTATACCAACATTACTCGGATCGATTCGATAATGACCCGAATGCCTTGGCCGATTGGTGCCGTCATATATTGGGCGATGGCGACGGAACGAGCGATATGGACGTGATGGAATTGCGTATCCTTGATGACAACATTGATGTTCTAAACGATTTTTCGGGTAGCGATGGACACGCGAATGACCCGAAAAATATGTTGAAACAAAGCTATGCAAAGCAGGTCGATCTTTGGGCTAGCGATGGACACACGAATGACCCGAAAGATTGGTTGAAACAAAACTATGCAAAGCAGATGGTCCAGGTGCTGCTGGGACACGGCGCCGATCCGAACGCGCTCGATGCCAAGGGATTGACACCGCTGCAACTGGCCGTGGCGGATCTCTTGCCGGATATCGTCGACCATCTCTTGAATCACGGCGCCGATCTGTCTGGCTTCGTTTTCCCCAACGCTGCGGGTTATTTCGTCGAGGGCGGCTCGATACCGCGATACGCCGGAATGTTGGATTCTAACTTGAAGCTGTGTCTAGCGTCCAGCGCTCTCGTCGTTCTCGAGCGCTTGGAGAGAAGCGGATACGAGACGACCCCCAGCGACGCCCTGACGATCATGAAATTTTTCGCCAAGCACGAATTGTTCGAAGATCCTGCGTCGGATCTCGAGGAGCGTTTGAGCCACGAAGAACATTTCGAGAGACTGGCGAGGGAAATGATGATCACGCCGAAACTGTCGCTCCACGACTCGATTCGGCTGCGGCCCGAACAGGTGGCAAAAGTACTCGCGTACACGGACTGTTTGGGGTTCGCGTGCTCGCGTGAATTTACGGGTAGTATCGGACGGCATGGAAGAGATTGTTTTTTGCATCTGTGCGAGATAATGTCGAGAGGATTTTTCCGGCGATGGGCCCTCGATCCTTTCTGGAAACTGATGCACCATCGGCTGTCGATTACGTACTGTTCTATGATTATCGAGAATCTGACCAACTTGGATTTATATCACATTTGCTTGGCAGCCTTGTGAAAAAGCGAAGAAAATTTAATAACAAATGTAATAGAATGTATTCGTCAAAGACCTGCATGTGCTAAAAAAGCTCCGAGAAGGCTGTAAATTTTATTGTATTATTTATATAAACTCTTTTTTTTATGTCTGCTGTTTTGAAATTTTGTAAATTTTCTATATCATTCAAATTAACAAATTTATACTTGAATTTTGATATTGTTTTTTTTTCATCGATCCTGTATAATAATTCGATACACTATGCAAGAGATAATGGGACAGATGCTCTGAAAAAAATCTTAGGTGAGAAACCAACAAAAATAGGACAGCTGAATTAAAAAATATATTTTGCTGCCACAACAAAATTATTGGACTTCATTTTTTTCATAAATGGGTCATCGAGTTACAAATTAAAATTTACAGAGCAAAATACTACAAAGTAATAATAGCATTCGATCGAACGGTGAGTGCGTATTTGCATATCGAGGCTCATTTACACTACTATAGTGTATCATTTTCCAACGCTGGTGTATAAATTACAGCCTCGTTGATTAAATTTCATTCGGTAATTTTTACACGACTCAATTATAATCGATAATTATGTTGTTTTCAACGCGGTATTCGATGGCCGATGAGCGTGAATCGATCTATATAATACCCAATCGTCGTCGCACGACCAAAAGCACCCGAATATGTTTTACATCGGTGTAGTGTGCGCAGTACATGGCAGAGCGCCAGATTTAATTGAACATATTTTCTATCAGTGAGCGAGCTCGCGTGCATGTGATGCGTTACGAGAACGAGAGAGGAAACGATCCCAATTGGTGCATAAAACTCAATTACCATTATCTCTTCGTGGTCTCTCTCTCTCTCAAATTAATTCGGTGATGCTCAAAAATGATGACACGCGTCGCTCGGCTTTGAAACCCGTCCGCTATCCTACATATAACAGATCGCGTCATCCGGTAACAATGCGTGTAATTGCTAAAAATTGACGTCGATGAAAACTCGCTGCTGCTATTGCCGTGTCCATCGAGGCTCTGAATAGCTTTTCGCATTAGAGGTTAACCCGATCTCGCGCGCTCGACTCATTGTGCGAGCTCGATGCAGCGCGTATAATATACTTCGTATCTGGCGCCGAACACGCGCGGCGCTCGGCTCGGCTCGCATATATAAAGATGAATAGCCCGTGTAATAGAGATGCCTTGCCGTAAAAAATCACTGCCCGCGTTCGACGTGTACAAATTGAGAGTAAATCGAGTTGAGAGAGCGAGCGAGAGAGACAGAAACGAACGAAACCAAAAAAAAATGAAGCGTCGGCGAGTTGGTAATACGGGGGAAAAAAAGTAGAATCTCTATTTTGCTTCTGCGATCAAACATTTTCGCGCTGAGTACGCAGAGTTTTAATCATCGACGTGTCTGTATATGTGTAATTAAAGACGCGTAAGCTCGAATTTCCTGCGCATCGCATTGTCTCCACTTACGTATAATAATATTTTCTCTATGCACAAAATTCAAAACTCCGAAGGAAAGTCCTGCGTCAAATAATTCTCTTGAACGCAACCGTGCGTCGATATCCTCCGCGTATGCAGCGAACAAAACTCTCCACGCATATATGTAAACGCGCAATTATTCTCTCGTCGAACAATATACAACTGCATAGCCATGGAAAAGGCGCGCGGAGAAATCAACGGAAAAAAATCTAATAACACGATTAAAGGGGGCCATTATTATTAATTGTCGTGCACATACGCGTATATGTGCACTAACCGCTGGAGGGGAACGCGGCAGCGAAGGACTTTCTATA